TTTACCTGGTTTTCTCAAATTTGCTCTACTGAACACTTTTGTCCTAAGAGATAATTGGTGCTGTTGACGTGTAAAGGTTTCAGAAGCCATGCATCTCTATGACTTTGTTGGTGGTGGTCCAATGCCATGGAATCAGCTCTGACTCATAGCGTTTTCCTGTATAGGAGGCCTGGTATGGTGCTCTGGGCTAATGCACTAGGCTGCAAAGTTGGTTTGAACCACAAGGACAGTGGTTCAAGATCACCAGCTGCTCCTTGGAAACTCTGTGTAGACAGGGTCATTATGGGTCAGAATTGACTCGAAGGCACGCAACAACAACAGCACAAAGTGTTTCCGAGGCTGTAAATCTTTACGGAAGCAGAAAGACTCATCTTTCTCCTGATAAATGTCTACAGGAGCAGAATATATCTGCTTTCTCTTGTGGAAGGGCTGGTGGATTCAAACCTTCAACCCTGTGTCATACAGCCACCAAGCCTCCCATAGGAGTTCATAAAGATTATTAAAATACTAGTAGGAATTCAAATACTTAGAAGGAAGGAAGGGAGTAGAAACAAACATGAAATGCCGACATAAGCACAATGTCTCCAGCACAGAGGTAGAGTCGGAAGGTATGGCTTCTACATGTGAGAGGGCCCATTCTGCTACCTGGGATTAGGGAGCCACAGGGCCCTGGCAAGCCTAGGCAAAGGCCACATGTTTCCACGAGGCAAAAGCAAAATATTTAAAGCAATTTCTAGAAATTGTGCCCTCTGGATTTCTTCTGACACTTTCTAGAAAATGTATTCATTTCCAAAGGACCCTGCTCTCTAAGATTTCAGAGGCCTATCTCTTTACTTAAGAGTTCTGGTGGGGTGTTGTACGATAAGCACTGGACAGCAAGGCCAGTTTTAAACGTCAGGTTGTTGGTTCAAACTCACCAGCTGCTCCTTAGAAACCCTACAAAGGGTCACAATGAGATGGAACCAACTTGACAGCACGTAACTACAACATTTGCTAAAGCAAATGGAAGAAATGAAGAGGTCCAAGAGCTAAACAGAAAATTTCAAAGATCAGCTCAAGAAGACAAAGCCAAATATTACAACAAAATGTGCAAAGATCTGGAATCAGAAAACCAAAACGGAAGAACAC